GGGTGAGAACACATGTGGTAACAGACGGAATTCCTCCTATAATTGGTTCTGCTAGGTCAGAGTGGATAGGCACTTAAAACACATGGCTGTTCTCCACACTGCCCATCTTACAGCGTCACCCACACGCACACCTATCTCTTACTATAACCTCGTTACCGTCTTGGATTTTGTCTGTCCTGTGTAAGGCGCAGCCTGCTTCAGTCCCAATTCTGGCATTCACCATGTTTCCTTTCTTCTCCCCTTCTTTCCTTCTCCCCCAGTCCCCGATGCCCCCTTATTACTGGTATCGAGGACTGAACCCAAGAGCTCTGCACTTAGCTACATTCTCAGTCCATTTTTAATTTTGAGACACGATTTTACAGAATCACTAAGTTGCCCAGACTCGGTTCAAACCTGCAATCCTCCTGATTCAGCCTCCTAGAGTGCAAGGACTACAGGTGCATGCCATCACATCTGGTTACCATGGTTTCAACTACAGACAAGCCCACTCGCTTTCTGAACCTTCCTCCTCACTGGAAAGAATGTCCATTTCCTAAAGTTCCTATAAACAGTGAAGGAGATAAGTTAAAGGCCAACGTCACCCAAGTGAGAGGCCCAAATCAGTATTTTAACATACTCGACACACACTTTCCGCCCACTGCTGTGTCAGCACAGCAACAGTTCAGGCTGTATTACATCCTTATTTGCACGGTCTTTTTCATACACTTCTTCCCATCTGATGGTCAAACGAATCTTCCCCAAAATTGTTTTATTGTGCTAAGACCAAAAGACAACAAACAAAAAACACACACCCAGAAAATTTTGTATCTTTTCCTCTATTATCCAGCCCCTCTAATCTCCCAGGGGATAATCTGTTCTGGTTCTGGGGACTGAGCCCCGACCTCACACATGCTAGGGAAGCTACACCTCTAGCACTGGTTTCTTCCTACTGCTTTTACTTCCTGCCAGTATTACAATTCCTTTTAAATATTCCAGCAGAAGAGGCATGATATTATTGCTCAAATCGCTAGTAGAGTCATCTCAATGTTACAGACAGCTATGAAACACCAGCTATCCCAAGTGCTGCTACTACCTCTGCACTGACTGTTACCACTTGGAATCTTTTGTTACCACAGGCAATGTCGGAAGTACGCTTTTGTTAAATTGGGAGCTCCTGAGCAAGATGAGAAGAAATGAGTTTTCACTGAGAAATTACAAGTATTTAAGACATGTATTAATAAATTGGCTGAAATGTGCAGAAGGTCTTCATTACTTCACAGAGTAGGTTTCAGAAGAAACCTATTCAGAATAGTACATCCTGCTGGATATGGTGGCACATGCCTGTAACCCCAGCACTTGGAAGGCCGAGGCAGGATTGCTTTGAGTTCAAGGCCACCCTGGGCTACATAGTAAGTTCAAGGTCAGCCTGAGCTCTGTAGCAAGATCCTGTTTCAAAAAAAACAACAAACAAAACACAATAAAACAAAAGAATAGCAAGTCCTATGCTCTTTTTTCTTAGGGGTGGTCCTCAAAGCCTGAACCCTCAAGAGCCGTATATTCAGATATGGGGGTCTTGGGATTTCTAATTGCTTCAGGTCAGTTTAAATGATAATGGGAACCCATCTCTGGAATAGTAATACGTGATCAAATTACCCAAAATGATGAACTAGAACTTCACCGTGCTTATAAAACAAGCTACATGAAGTTTCGTGCTGCACATAATAGGAGTTCAACAAACACCTGTATGAGCGGAGGATTTGAACTTAAGATTTTGTAATCTGTTAACAGTGTTGTGGGCGGATACCTGCCATTCAGGCACTTTAACCCTGATAGGTCTTCTGCCAATAAAACCTTAGGAGTGCCGTGAGACCAAATGATCTCAGCTCATTTGCATATGTTTTTACCCAATTGCACACCTTCCCAGGTCCTATGGCAGCCTTCCTGCATGCTGTTTCCAAATTATGTAACATTACAAAGGCTTGCAGATGCCCAGCAGATCCAACGCCTCTCAGTTCAAATAGTGTTCAATCTATGTTATCAGTGCTTCGGACTATTTTGCGTCTTTGGGGTTCACTTAAAGCCCTTAGTACACTGTTTCTTGAGGGGCATCTCACGCAGCTGCCACTGTTTTCTTTTTTTTACCGTTTTCTTTTCAAACTATGGATGACAGACTTTACTAACAGCCCACATATGGAATGAAATGGACAGAGTATATTTCAGTCACACAGTACTGGGAGAGAATTATTTCATACTATAGTTACCAAGTGCTCACTACATGCTAAGCATTTTCTTGGCTCAAGAAAGAGCAATAACACAGTAATGTCTGCCGTCAGAGAACTTATACCCTAGTGAAGACAACATGTACCGTAAGCTGGAATATGTTCTCTGAGGACAGCAGAGGGGTTCAGGGGTGCTACTTTGAGAGCAGACAGGAGAGGTAAGTAGGAAACCTGAAGGTTACAAAAACTCTGGATTCTTATGTGTAAAGGAAAACCTATCACAGGGCACAGGATGATCAGTTCTTTCTAAGAGTTGGTAGTATGGCTTTCTGATTGTCCCCTTCTTGAGTAACAGAATGGCTGGAATATACCTACATATATAGCCATATGGAGATGACACATTCAAGTTTCTCTTACAGCCAGAAAGGTGGTGACTAAGGTCTGGACAAGAGGCAAAAGCAATGTGTGCTTCTTGCAGATCATGGTGATGTCCTTACCCCACTCCCTTCATGACTGTTGGATACAGATAAGGTGGTAAGGACTGATGCAGCCACCATGGAGGAGACCATAAAAAGGTCTCAGGATGGCGGAGTTACACAACAGAAATCCACTGATGAGCTGGCTTATCAGACCCAGATTGCTGGTTAGAACATCTACCATGTATCAGTTATATTTGAGTCTCTGCTATAGTAGCAGAAGTAATCTGTACCCTAATTAATTTGCAAGCATATCTGAAATCCTACATTTGAACTACAAAGTGTTAATTACACACGTAGGAACTTATGGTATGGCTTCGACAACTCAAAGACAAAGTAGCTTGACAGTAAGCCAGAATGGTATTATGCAAAAAACATCAGACTTCATTTTTCAGTCTATTTCTGCCCTTTATCAATAGTAAGAACTTCCTGGTCCTATACAATGTATTAAAATATGTATAAAACAATGCAGCATACAAACAAACTAGTGTAATATCTCGTTTACAACTTGACTGATATTTAGGCTCATCCTTTCTGTGATTCAGGATTATGGAAAGGGGATGGCCTGAGCCACCTAGAACACCCTCCTCCTCAGACTAACATCTGACTCATGAAGGTAATGAATGTGACACATCACTACTGAGAGTAAATTAGGATTTTTAAACAATATGAAGATGTAAACTTTATCATTCCATGGTAACATTCGTTAGGCCATCTGTTCCTATCTTTCTTACACTAGAACTCTCAGCCATTTCTTATCAAGAAACTGGTATGCATGAGTGTGCAGCCCTCGTGACACACCATCTTTTCATCCTGAGTGTGAAATGCACAGACTGAGTGCCAAGAATGTGTAGGAATCTTCTGAAGAGGCAGTCACACAGTGCGGCAATAACACCTGTGGAAAGAGCACACCTCCTTCTGAGAAAAATCTCACCCATACTTCAGTTCAGCAACCCTCAGCCTCCAGTCCTCTTAGCACAATTCACAATGAAGCTAAGCACACTAGGCCTTGTGCTTTCTCTTTCACAGTTTTGTAGCTTATTTTGGTGGATGAGTAAATGCAATCGTTCTCACTTAAAGACAGGGCACATTCTGAGAATCAAGCAATTTCATGGTGTGAACACCATAGTCTCCTCCGACACACTCGAACGGTTATAATGTCCTTAGGCAGTATCATCTTACAGAACCAGCACCATACATGGGGCCTATTGTTGACTACAATGTTATATTTTAATACTTAAAAAATTAGGCTAGGTGTGGTGGCGCATGTCTGTAATCACAGCACTCTGGGAGGTCAAGGCGAGAGGACTGCAAGTTCGAGTCTGGTCTGGCAACTTGGTGACTTAGCGAGACCCTACCTCAAAAAACAAAACAAAATGAAGAAACAGCTGGGCTGTCGTTCAGTGTGAAGGCCGGATGTTCAATCTCTAGTACAGGGGAAACAAGAAAGAGTCCCTATCCCCAGCTCCACCACTGAGATATAATTAAGCCCAAAGCTCAAACTGTCAACATAGTCAAATCTCCTAAACTTCAAATTCTACTCATTATTCACCTCCCAAAATACACAGTTTGACTATACAATAATGAGATGGGTTAGCATAAATATTTCTAGATAGCTCATTTAACTTACACTCAAGTTTTATGAAGGTAGTAACATGAAAATAATTGTTTCTGTAATGCTCAATGCTCAGTCTGTAAATATCTGTATCTTTTGAACAACTGACAGTATTTATCAATAAAAATGAAATAAAACCTGTATATTAACTTTACTTAAAATTCAGACTTCGTGGGATTAAAGTACAGTATATTTTTCAAGACTGAAAGTGAGAGTTAAACATACATAAAGTGCCTACTATGATGGCAGACCCCCTAATTAGGCTCCTGATCTCATTTTATCTTCTCAATGATTCTATGAATTATCATCCTCCTTTCATCAGTATAGAAAAAGTAACGTCTTCAAGTAGTGATAAACTCTGGTTTATTCAAAATACATTTATAAAATTATATAGTAACTTAATGTAAAAAATAGGAAATTGGGTATGTTTTTAGCAATTTAGTGTTTCAACACAAAAATATACTTCCCTTCTAGGTTGGCTTCTTTTAGTGGTTTGAACATTTTTTTAATGTGTGTTTGCTGCTGCAGCAGACTGTAATTTCATTGCAGGCAGACAAGGAACTACAGTTTCATCCTTCTGAACACTTAAGAGATGGCTGAGACCTGTTTTGCAAATGGGGCACTCAGATTTGTTTGGTAAACCTGAAAACCAAAATGACTCCTATGGTTCAAAGTACACAAGGTTCTCATTTTAAAAAACATACACTGAAAGGATATGAAAATATGTATTTATTACCAACAAAGTAACATTTCCAACACAGAGATTTTGACAATTATACATATGCACATACACAATAGCAGGACAAAATTACATTTTTTTCAAATACTAAAAGTTTATACTGCAAAGAAAATAGGCATATGTCCAAAAGACAATCAAAAAGCAGCAGGAAATCTTTTTTCTTACTTTGAGTATGGAAAACTTTTTAACAGACTCTCCGTAAGCAAATCAGTGAAGATTTAGTCTCCAAAAAATGCCTGTCACTTTAATGTTTCATATATTTATCACATTATTCATCAAATTAGGCCTTTTATTTGACTTTTTACAATTTGAATATAATTAAAAATCAACATTTGCAGAAAACATGAGATTTTAAGTCGCCGAGACTCTTAATACCCTAAGCCTTATTATTCCTCAAGAAGTTAAAAATGATACATAATTTATCCTTCACAGCTCAAAATTCAAGGTAAAACCAAGTATTAGCTTTGTTCAGTATAGAAACACAAATGCTTACAAACAAGTTACGAAATGTAAAATGTAAATGCAAATGTAAACTGAAATGTAATTGACCATTTTACTTTCAAATATGATTAATTTTCCAGCTTATTTTTCACATTAAGAGTTCATTTTGCAGAAACTGATGACTTGTACTAATTTAGACAATAAACTCTACCACAGAACATATTAGTAATATTATAGCAGAGAACAAAGCCAATAACATAAGTGTTTGGTAATATCCATGGACTCAATTATTACCAAGTTTTTCAGTGTTCTTGTTTAGTGAAAATATTTTAAAAACATTTTCGTACTTCATGCATTAGACAGTTTAAGGGAGGACTTTAAAAATTTTATTTATAAGGAAAAAATACTTTTCAAAGAGAAAAATGCCTAAGGGAGAGAATATAAACTCATAGATCATTATTTCTGACCTAATAAGAATATAAATTTCAATGGTCATATAAGAACATGTAAAACTCAAACAATGCAACACTGCAACTTATGCAGCTATCTGACACAAAAATATAATTTTGTCATTACCAGCATGGAGCCAATCCAAATTCAAAGACATGTCCTTGGAATAGTCCATTTTCTCATAAGATTTATTTTTTAAAAGAATAGAACTCACTGGGCACTGTTAATTAATATACCTCAGAGGCAAGTGAGTAATTTCCTCATTTAATTCTTTCAAGATGAAAGAAAACAGTTTAAAACTAGATTTTCTAAGATAATGGATAGATAAGGAATGAACTATTAGCTTAATTCTAAAACAGTACAGTTTTAAACAAATCAATGCCTTCTCTTCTTTCATAGCACTGAAAAATTTCAAATATAAAGTGTAGAAACCAGTATATGAAATCTTAAGAAAATCTTACCAAAAATAATTATAAAAATGTTTTTTTAGAAGTTTAAAATACAATTGATTTTAAATTAAAAAACAAAACAAGAAAAATCCACACACACTTTATCAGGTTATTCTTTAAAAACCCTTGTCACCTGATTTTATTCTGTCAATCTGTTGGCAGCATTTGGCATCATCTAGAGGCCACCTGGTGACATTTCAAGTAAGTCACACTATTGTTTTCTCAAGCCCAGTGCTTTCTCTTCTCTTTCCCATACTAATGCAATTATAGCATCAAGTTTCATAAAATTTTTTTCACAGACCATAAAAATCCATTTCCTAGTGGAGATAATGTTTTTATAATAGAAAAATGAATATATTTGTCATAAATTATTACTATACATTAGACATTTCCATATCAATTTTAAAAGATTAAATGTAACACTGGGATAAACTAGGTTTTAAGTTTTAGAGTCATCTTTAAGCTCTAAAAGTAACTAAAATTCTTCTTCAATTAAAGCTCAGGCTACTATGTGATTTATGATTAAGAACCCTAGTTCCATTGTATCTTTGATTTGCAATAATAACCATCTTTAACGTTGGGAATCCAGGACTCACAGTCAGAATAATAAGGACACAAGTTCAACTAAGACTGAGACTTAACTATTCCCACCAGATGATGTTCCAGAGAACAGGGGTCTTTATGGTCTTTATTTCATCAACCTTTTGTATTTAAAAGCAGGTTTCAAAAAATAACCAATTTTCTATTTTAATAAATCTCTTAATTTTTATTCAGTTAAGCCAGTTATTAACAGAATTTAACAACAACAACAACTCTTAAAAGTTTCTTCTATTCACTTCTATTGAGACGGCTGAGTAAATGTTATACGGCGGCGCCGCCTTTGGAAAGCTTTTAAACTCCATTTATTTGACTCCAGCATATGAGGACCATTGTAGATAAACAATACTGTCATCTTTTCAGAATAAGGAAGATTTTGCAGCAGCTGTAGGCATTAAAATAAACTGTCACGTATACATGTCACTCTGTACATTGAGAATCAGTTTTCCAATCTTCCATGTGTACAGCCAAATATATCAACTTATTATAATATTACCAAAACTCTTATGAAGCTCTCAAACACCAATGAATGGAATGATCTTAGCTTTACACCTAAAGCTTGGTGTAAAGAATAATCAACACATGCTTGGGAGTCCTCTATATTTCCCAGGACAAATGGTATCATACAACCCTTTACCTTTCCTAAGATTGATATTTTTCCTTTTATCCATAAACACTTCTCATACAACTTCTACAAGTCAAGCACTGTAATAAATTGGTAGCCACAGATGTTTGGTTTATAGGCCAAAGTGTCTGATAAAAAAAGAAAAAGGTATTTGGCAGATCTGGCTCTTGCACACAGCATCTGCTGAAAAGTAGGTAATATAATCCAAAAGAAATTTGAATTTAAGATGGGCTCTCCAATGAAATTATTCATGAAAACTCACTGAAAAAAAGGAAAAAAATCTGACTATGTTAATAAACACATCCTTGAGTATATTACCTTCATAATTTAACTGCAGCAGTAGATGTTACACAAGAAAACTCCCTACTGCAATAGTCTAGCTCAATGGCGGCAAACCTATATAGCACATGTGCTACACTGGGCTGTCTGTATCTCTGAAAAGTCTGAACAGCTCGCCATCAGTGGTCTGGATTATGGGAAGTCTTCTGTAATGGTAACTGTGCTATTGTCCATGCTAATCTGTATGTAAAAGATGCTGATACACTTTTGATTTCCTCTGGGTCAGGGTAGAAGAAATAACAGAGAGGGGCAGCAAGCGACAGGTCAGGACTTCCTGAGGACACGGAGCAGGCAAGGGGCCGGGCAGTTACACCTCTCAGTTACCTTTTAGTGCTAAGAGAAACTTTACTGTAAGAGTAATGATGCCAAATAGGGAAGAAGTCTTGGCTCTAGAACACAATATACTGCTTACATTTCTTCTTCTTCAAATAACCAGATTTCTGATTAGGTATGTCACTCGATCTTGTGCCTTACAGTAAATATTACTGTAATCTTCTTAGCTCCTTTTTTGGGAGAGTTCCTTCTCATATTTATAGACTGAGCTAAAATCTGCTTTACAGTTAGACACAGAGACTTCTGAGTATTTGAGCACTGGGAGGTTGCTTACTACTTACCTTTGGTGTAATAAAGAAGTACTGAGATGTGTTTTCTTTACAGGCAGTGTTTACAACCATTTCAAATACTCTCCGTTCATTGATTGGGTCCATCCCCTAAACCATGACATAACAATGATTACATCTGTACCTTCTGCAGGGCACAATAAAATCTAAATAAAGGAATAATGACTGTACCTGGTTAATTTCGTCGACTACTCTAAATGGACATCTGTTCAGCTCTTGAAGTGCCATCAAGTACAGCATGGTAGAAACACTTCTTTCACCTCCACTTTGATGATGAGGAGTCAGTTCATGCAACTGAGTACTACTACGAAACTTGACTCTAATTCGAATCCCGTATTTATCATAGTCTTCCTATAAAAGATTTAAAATTTGAAAGATTAGTCTTCCTTGCTAAGTAATCATTTGAAAATAAATTGATGAATCAATAGTAAGAGTAAAGAACTTAAAATTCAGTAATACCAATTTAAAACTAAAGCAATAAAATATTAAAGTTACTACCTAAAAACGTGAAGAGCTTCCAAAGATCTATTACTTAAAGGAATGGTTCACATTAAAAGTGACTTTCTCCTTACTTGATACCATTATTTTCTACTTTATTGGGCTTTCCCAAAAATTTTCAGAAATTACCAAGGAGAATTTTAATGGAAAAGCACTATCTTAATTCCAAAGTGCTAGACTGTAAAACTATAAGTAAAAATAGCTAAAATACAACGGAGTGCTATGCCATTTTCTGCCAGAGAAGCAGCTGTGTGTGCTACTGCACAGGACCACCAGTACTCCCACTCCTTCAGCTGGTCACAAAAGAAGGGGGAATTTTTATATTGTGCCACATATTATTTATATACACTATGCCACATTAAAAAATGACACGTCATACACACAGTACTTTGTAAAAAAATCTGACATACTAGAGATGATCAATAAATATTACTGTAATCAGTACATTCAATATTCTATATCTTTTGCCAAAACTGAGTCTGCTCCAAGGTTTATATACTGTTTTTATCCATGTATTTTGCTATTTCTAGGTCAGAGGCTTTGATTCACCCTAAGACTGTGGCCTGGTCTGCGTGAGTGACAGAGGCAGGACCCTGGGTACTGTACCAGGTCTGTGGCCCCTTCCCCGTTGGCCCTGGCCCCCGCCGCCATGAAAGCAGCAGCCTGTTCCACCACACCCTTCTCGCCAATGCCTTGCTGCCAGGCGATCACGTCCTGAACTCCCTGGTACTAAACCTCAACCTCTCCCCTTTTACGCTGTGGCTACTGGCTACTGTGTGCTGTTAGGGAGGCTGACTAAAGCATCCAGACTAGATATACAGAGCCAGTGAGGTACTGGTCACTCATCTCCAACATCACCAATCTGGAGGTGAGGGGCGGGGGGTGCAACCCTAATGGAATCTCCTAGGTGGTTTTTTCCTTTCTCTGGATAATTTTACAGCAAATAAGACTAGATATAACTCTAGGGTAAATATATTTACATGTACTTTTAGTATCAATTAATATTATTTAATAAGAAACATATTCAAAGTGCAATTTTACCTCATTTTCTGTATGGAGATCAACTTCACCAGCACACTGCATGGAACTAAAAAAATTGCTGAATTTTTCATTAATTTTTTCGACTAGCTCTTTTAAGGGATTTAGCCACCGTTCTTTTACCTAAAAATAAAGGCAATATAAAATACATTTTAGAAGTATTTTTAAATCCTGATACAAAACTTTACATATGACAAATTTTACATCAACTATCAATCTGGTTGTAAGAACATACTTTTTCTTTCCCTTTCATTTTTAAAATTTTTTAATTTTTGATACCAAGAATCAAACGCAAGACCTTGAGCTTGCCAGGGAGGTGCTGTGCTGCTAAGCTATATCCTTGGGCCCATTTTTTCTTTTAGATAAAAAAAAAATTTCGTTTTGTATTACTCTACATGTCCATATCAGCTATGATAAGCATATGAAAAAAAAGACAAAAATTTGAAAATTACCTGTGAAATGTTTTCCCTGTATTTGTCTAGTTCAACTTTCTTTCCCTTTAATTCCTCAGTTAACTGTACTATTTCTTCTTCTCTTTTTGTGTATTCTTGAACCACCTGGCAGGAAAAGAAATATTTAAGATAAATCTGTCTGAGGATAAAATTATATAAAAATTTGCATCAATTAAATTATCTGAAAATGTCAATTGTGTTGCAGTTTGTATACAATTAATTTATGTTCTTATACTGAAAATGCCTCTTAATCTTGAAAAAATAGATATTGCAGTATTTCTAGTTAACCCAACTATTCTTTTTTATACAGAAAAGGCACAGAACACTGTGTTCCTTAGGAAGAATCTATTTAAAATTCTAATAGATTCAGAATCTGGCATTTAAAGCACATTGTTCCTGCTGTCTAGCTTATTATTACCAAGCGCTCTAGTACAGAGTGGGAGGCAAGGGCTGGAGGGAACTGTGTGTGTGTGTGTGTGTGTGTGTGTGTGTGTGTGTGTGTGTGCGTGTGCGTGTGCGTGTGTGTGTAGGGTAAAGTGGTGGCAGCTGCAGAATGGGAATAGAGAAAGGAGCGTACTGTAGGATTCAGTCCTGTGAAGCAAGAAGCTCTTGATCTTTCTTCAGTTAATAAAGCATCAATTTCATCCAATGTGTTTGGAAGATCTTGGAAAGCCTAAAGAAAAAAAAGATGTCTAGCATTAGAGACAGTATAGTAAAAACAGTTCAATTCAAATAGTTAAAAGGAAAATTATGTGCTAAGTATCTACTATCAATCAACAGCATGCTAGCACATGAGGATTCAAAGAAATTATAAACATGGTCTTTTGCCGCAAAGACTTATCCATCAAAAGAGAACACAATGTATACATTGGATAACACATTGGACAACACAATGTATTGGTGTTGAGTATTAAAATAAGCAGTACATATCAGACAGGCTATGGAACTTAAGAGAAAGGAAGTATCAGTTCATGCCACAGGACAGTTAAGAGAAATGAAAGGCCCATCTCTGGGCTTTAAAGCAACTGGCTAGAAAAAAGCAAGTCAGAGGGAAGAAGAGCACTGCATACCATGGGGGGTGAGGAGTTGTGTCCATTTGGAATGGTGGGTACTTGCTGAATTGGTAGAATGGGTCCAGAATATGTGGGGCATTGAAAGAGAGCAAGAAGTTAGAACTTTATACTGTACGTATGAAGAACTACAAAAGCATCCTAAGAATCCAATTTCTTTGACAGGATTTCACCATTGGACTATCTTCTGAATCCATGCCACAGGGACAAACCAGAACATACACTTTTGCTATATGGGGAAGCAAGAGATACATTGTTTTGCCTAGCACAACCTGAAAAGTCCTATACAAACACACACCAATGGATTCAGAATCTGGCATTTAAATTAAAGCACATTGTTCCTGCTGTCTAGAACGTGTCTTGAAGACACGTTTGATTCTAGCACATTGTATTCATCTAAATGTCTTAATCTCCTATTTTTACAACAACCTTTACAATGCAGTTCAACCTCAAAAGACCTTCAAGTGTTTGTTTTGTGCATCTGTTGGCTCTAGTTTTCCACTGAGCTTTGAGCTTATGTGCCTGACATAGTTGACATCCTCACCTGACTCTTAACAGGTATCTTAAAGCTCGGACGGAGAAACAGATTCTTCTGTTCATTCACCTTCCCCATCACTTTGAGAGAACTGTTTCGTTCAATATTCTCCACAGAAGTAAATACCATCACTACTTGGGAAAAAATTGGAGGTTCTTTTACTCTTCATCTCAAATCATAAATTCTGCTGGCTGTTTACTAAAAGATACTTAACCCTATTAATCTCTCTCTGCAGGGCTAACAGCTACTCCAGACCACGAGCACCTCTTCCTTACTGAAATCAATGTAATCCTCCAAATGGTCTCCCTGCTTCCATTACGGAATCTATTCTCCACAGGGAAGTTAAGAGCGTTCTTTCATAAACTAGACTTAGTAACATCATTTTTGTGTTTAAAATTCTCCAGTAGATTCCATCTCAAAAATAATATATCCAAACTACTTGTATGGTCTAGAAGGCCCTCTTCTGTTTTTTGATGTTTTGTTTTTTTTTTTTTTTTTTTTTTTGGTACTGGGAATCAAACTCATAACCTCACGCTTGCCAGGCAGGCGCTATACCACTGAGCTAAACCCCTAGCCCTAAATATTTAGTGTAATCTCTTTCCACAACTGTAGATTTTTTTTTTTTTTTTTTTTTGGTACTTGGGATCAAACTCATGACCTCATGCTTATCAGGCAAGCGCTTAAATCACTGAGCTAAATCCCCAGCCCCTTCTGTTTGCATTGTAATTTTTAGCCCCACTAAGATTCCTTCTATGCTAAACATGACAAACACTACCACTGTCTGAGCTATTTTCTTTGTCCAGGCTATTTTTCCCTCACATCCTCACCTGACTGGTTTTGGTCAGGACTTATCTAAAATCGTATTTTCTCAAAGAAGCTACCACTAACCAGCTTCCCATATTTGTCACTCTCATCCCTTACCTTCTTTTATTTTTCTTCTTAGTATCTCTTCCTGTCTGACAATATTTACCTGCTTTCTGTATTTTTGTCTGCCCCATTCTCCAGACAGAGAATATTAAGTATGTCTGCCTTGTTCAATATGTGTCATATAGCAGCTTATTTATATAATGGACATATTATCTTTTAATTTTGCTTCTTTTAAAAAGAAGTATGACTCAACAAGGATGTATCATGTTATTTCTTAAAATAATTATTACAACTACTCTACTGGTATTTATTTTGTAAAAACAAAGTGTATTTTGGAGAAATTTTAGTACTTGAAAACAATAAGCACTGGAATTAACTTTACGAATTTCTACTCAATTCCTAATATGTACTTGGTCAAATTCATCCTCTGTGGTTTTCATGTCCCCGATCCTTTGAGGATTTCCCATTTATAATCCAAATCAGTTCTTTTTTCAGTGTTGTTTTTACCTTTTATCCTTTATTTTTCTAAATATCACCCCATCGTTACTCTTATGTACTGATGATTCGTATAATGTTTCTATGAAACACCATATTCCATATCTTTTAACTACAGCCCTTAAAAGTGGTTTAAAAGAAAAAGCCCACTCTTACTGTAAGCACTGAATATTATGGTACCAAAAAATTTTAAATGTAATTCCTATGCCTTAAAAATTTTAGTACTGAGCATAGTACAAAATTTTAGTACTGAGTACTGACTTATTGGTGCCACATTTGAGTAGGAAAAAAACAAGACTCCTTTATATACATATTCAGTTTTACAACAGGGGAAAATGCTCTTTTTTAAAAGAACACAGTCCATTTCTATGGCCGATACAAGGTCAAAATTACTTGGCTTAAAAATAATGTGTTACAGCAACTGTGGCATTAAATATTTTTTATACTTACTGTCTGATATTCCTGAGGGACAGTCTGCTGCGCACCCAGGTTACATACTTGCCTAGCTCTCTTCATAAGTTCCTTGCATTTCTGCAATAATCGCTGCCTATTTTCATCCAACTCAATGAAATGTTGCTATCACAAGAAAAAAAATTTTGAAGATTTGAATGTTACTATTAACAGATAATCAGATAATCATAGGCTATTTTATTAAATCAAATATCAATAAATTATTGAATGTTGACTATGATATAACCAAATCATTTCAACCATATCTCACATCAACACTGCTTTTATTGTAATGGTTAAATTTCCATTTAAACTTTAAACTATATCAGCACACTACTAATCTGGCATTTCTGTAATACGCAAGAATTGCTTTTTTTGGAAGTTTAGTTATATGTAGTTAATTACATCCTGGTGAAATTCTAAAAACACAATATTTAGACTTCACATCGGAAAACTCAGCACTCCAATGTAAACCTTTACATTGTGCTTGATAGCTTCCCAAGTGTGTTTTATATGTACTTATCATCTTTTCATAGACCTACTTATTCATTCTTTCATCAAACAAATACTGAGAATGTAACTGTCAGTATTATACTCTGTATTACACATAGAAAGGTGAGTACGAAAAAGACACAGAATCATTCCTGTAACAGAAACAGGTACTATTTTCTGCATCTTTCTGTGTTACGCCCTTGGCTAAGTGCTTCACACACATACCTTTTATTTCTCCCAATAGTGTACCAGTAACATTATCTCTGTTTCACATGCTAGGGAGATAAAGAAGACTGAAAGTACTAAACAATTTGTCCAAGCTCACACATTTATTCAGAGGCTGTCACAATCTACATTCATGTCTGCTGAGGGTACATGATCACATCTTTAGAGTATGATGCTTTGCAAAGGGGGCAGACTACAGAGAAATTAAGTGAGAGAAAGAAATACAGGAAAATCAGAGTGGTAACAGACTAGGACAACGGAACAGTTTCAGGGGAGAAGACATTACTCAAGAAGCAGAAGCAGAAGGAATTATGATTATGAACTGAAGGAAAGGTATAGAAGCCTCAAAAATATGTTTATTTAGGGAACAAGTAATTTAATATAATTAAAAAAGATTTCCTCCCCCTCTACCCCAGCACTAGGGACTGAACCTAGGGTTTTCCCAGTGAGTTACATCCCCAGTCTTTACTTTGCAAACTTTCTGCCTCAGCCCCGCAGTGTTGGGGTGATAGTTACGTTATTACCAGTTAGCCAGAGAACTTTTCAGGCTGCGAAAGATCAGGGTTGGAAGAGTGGGCAGGCTCCAGACTGCAAAAGTTTCATGTAATGAGGAGGGAATCTAATCTGCTGGATGTCTTTTATAGACCATTACCACAACTACTACACTGATACTAATTTATTTTAGTCCATCATAGTATTTTGAAATGTGTTCTCTCTCTTTTTAGGTGTGGCTGAGTTTGTAAGAATCCTGCCCATGATCACAGAACTAGCAGTGAACAGGTTTCTAAGAAAGAAAACAGGTCTATCTTACTCTTTCCACTAAACTTCAAACTAGTCTTCACAAAGTACCCTGTGGTAGGGAGTCCATGCATAAGCCACACCCAGATCTATTTGACTAATACTTCTGAGGCTGGGGCTTGAGCACTTGCATTATTAACAAGGCCTCTGGATGGTTTTTATGCACATCACTTTTTTTTTTTTTTTTCTGTTTTTGAGATGGGGTCTCGCTATGCAGTTCAGGCTGGCCTTGAGCTCACTTTGTAGCCCAGGCTGGTCTTGGCAGCGATCCTCCCACCTCAGCCTCCCAGAGTGCTGGGATTACAGGCGTAAACCACCACGCCAGGCTTTTTATGCATGCCACTTTGATAGCAAATAAACTAAGACAAAAAGAAAAAGTAAAAACACATGACCTAGATTGAAAATATGAGCAAGTCTTTATACTCATCATTTAGTATTATGGTTTCTTTTTATCAACTCCTCCGTCCCTGACACAGATAAAACATCATCGTAAGTTGTTATCCCCAGATGCTGTCAGATAATGTAACCTTGTTTTCTTTTAAAACTTTTTTTTTTACTACAGGCAAAATATATTTTTTGTAAACTATCTTAGTAATGTCTATCTAACTTGCAGTTATAAAAATAAAAATTTCTTACAGCCATTAACAGTTTAGGGTACATATTGTTTCAATCCCTTTTCTGTGTTAATTATATGTATTCTTATAAACATTTTACTAATTCATATAAAAAAATCAATTGGATTAGACCAGTTCATTTTTCTGTGAGTTGTTCACTTAACAATGTGCTTCTGCATTTTCTGCAGGTTCAGGAGATAAGTACTTCACTTTTTATGAATGGACACATAGTATTACAGAGTGAATACTCTTCAGTTTATGTAACCATTCCCTTATTAACTGGCGTGTAAGTTGCTTCCAATTTTTCCTTGTTACATGCAATGTTCCAATGAAGATCCTTTTGGACATGAGTACCATAATTGACTCCTAGAACTAGAATCCTGGCTCGGGGGGGGGGGCGGGGGGAGGGGGCAGCACATGCATGGTAAGTTCTGATAACTACTGCCAGACTGTAAATGTTTGTTGTCATTAAAAATGCTATTTTGCTTTAGCTTTATTTAAATGATCACACTATTTTTCATTGTAAATGATCCCTCATTCCTTCAAATAATTAACTTTTAATTGTCTACTTTTAAATAATTTCTTTTCCTTTAGAATTATTTTGTTCTTAGCTGGAGACCAATAGTGAAAGGATGACATAAAAGATAAAAACTTCAAAACTATACAAGAAAAAAGCCATCAGCTACTTTGAAGGCAATAAGATTCACTATGATGCTCACTCTGGTTTGACTATTATCCTCTTTTGAAGTTCTGTAAGGTTTACAATATTTAGGTTTTACTGGTCTTGTTCTCTACTGTTTTGTTCAACTTTTAATACCTAATGAGATAGACAATTCTTCTTAAGGAAGCAAGAGGCATTATGGTAACCATTGTTGATAACCTTGTACTCTGTTTTTACATCATGTGCTATGTTTATCCTTGGTTTTGACTGACAGCTTTGTTTTATCATGTTTGATTTTATTCTCTTACAAAAAAAAGTAGTAAGATCTATGGGAGCAATAAAACCCAAAATGTGTAAATTTTGTTGTAATAGAGAGGAAAAAAAAAGTGCCCTAAAGGATACAACAGCAAGTGTGTTAGGTGTGTTAAATAGATGACCATATTAATATTTTTGATTGGATCATTGAACACAACTATTTGCAGTCTCACTGTTCGAATGTTCACTTTGTATGCTTTGATCCTGTGACCTGAATCACCGTTTCTAAGATGATAGTGTGTAATCTATTAACTAGTGATATCTTACTGTTTTTTTTTGTAGTTCTGTATTACTTGTACCCTTACACTGTTTTGTTTTGTTGTTTTTTTCTCTTTTTCCTTTTAAATTAAAAAAAAAAAAGCCATCATAGTATTGCACACATTGCTTTTGTTAAAAAATTTTTACCCAGCTCTGACCCACTTAAAAATTTTTCAGTTCATTTCTAATACAGGCTTTATAGTTTTCCATAACAGGCAATAGGTAGTTGCCATTTTGTTATCAACATCATCTTTAAAATGTTCATGGCCTCTGATCCAGAATTCTCTTCAAGTAATTTATCCTCATCACCAAGGGGTTCATAAAAATACGTATTTTCAAATACTCATTATTCATGAAAACAAAAACATGGGAGAACTACCTAAATATCTATGAAGGGATTAAATTAATATAGCTGTGTGATGGCATATTACATAGTCATTTACAGTGATGTCAGAATACTAAATGAAGCTGGCTGTGGTAGCACACACCTATAATCCTACCACTTAGAGGCTGAGGCAGGAGGACTGCCACAAGTTCAAGGACCACCTGGACTACACAGTAAGACAAAGGCCAGCCTGAAATACACAGTGAGACTCCATCTCAGAAAAAGAGAATGCTTTTATGACTAGAAAAAATATTTACAAGTCATAATGGTCATTTAAATCCCATTTTCTAACCCCACCAAATAATGGAAAGGTATACCAAAGTTAATAGGTGGGATATCTGGTGATGAGACTATAGTATTTTTTTCCCACTGGAAAGCTGTGGCTGGCCCAGCAGCTGGTCGGATGGCTAGCAGGGAGAGAGTGAAAAATCATAAGCAGTGGTGAGAATGTGACCCTGTTTCTGAAGGGCCCTGCAGAGCCAGCAATTGGTGAAGAGGTGAACCAGCACTGCTGGGGAACACAGACACACAGGACAGGAGCAGGCAGGCGGGTCTGCCATTTCATTACAAAGGGTTCAGTGGGAATCCCAGCAGCCGAACAATTCCAGTCACTTCACTGCCAACATCCTGGAGAAGACAGAGGGAAGGTAGGCCACCTTGTCACAGCAAACTGCTGGAAGCTGGGAAGCAGAACTAGGGGAATTCTACTGAGAGGCAGGAGCTGCAACCACATAGACTCTGCTCCAGCAGCTGCCCAAAGCCAGTCCTCACCCTAACTACAAAGGACTGGAAGAATCCCCCTGGTCTGCGACCAGCAGAGTAGTGCTATGCCAGCAGTGTAGGCAGGCAAGCAGCCTTACCCTACAGTGGGGCACGGGCACTCCCACCACCCTACAACCAATGTGCAAGAGAAGCTGGTGGTGTGGAACAGAAGCAGGTGTGCAAGGAATGGAAGGAGCTTCTTGTACACAGGTCTGGGAGCAACCCTTGGCTTTCACTCTCCGATGGCACCACAGCAACTGGGGCAGAACACACAGAAAAAAATGCTAAGGAGACGCACACATCCAGTATGCTGTCAGCTAAAGACCAGCCCCAGCCCTGCATCCCATCTGGGGCAGAGATCAGCACCATACCTAGCACAAATCCTACTGCACACCTGGTGAGGTTACACAGCACGTCTCTGGGATGTAACTTGGACAGTACCACAAAACTGTAGACACCAGACAAATTTTATTATTTTTCTTTGTTTGATTTTTCTGTAGAGTTGGGATTTTTTTCTTTTGACTTAGGTTTCTTCCCTGTATTTTGTTTTGTTCTATTCATCTTTAGTCTCTCTTAATTTTATGATATCTTCATATTAGTGAACATATGTCTTCTT